GAACTCAGTCGGAAGCTCCTTACAGCAGAGGTGCTGTCATACCCTAAACCCGGCTTGATTTCAGATTCAAGCCCGTCTTGATTTTGAATAACATCCTAATTCCGCCACCGCCGCTGCCGCTGCTGGTGCCGGTGCTGCCCACACCGCCACCGCCACTACCACGACCACCACCATCCACCACCACCACCACCACCACCACAACAACAACAACAACAATTTTTTTGCAATTAAACGCAGTGCGAGCGTACTCTGCACATCGCGGGCNNTCTAAGTTGAAGCTTTCAGACAGTGACAACAACAACAACACCACCACCACCACCACCACCAGCAGCAGCAGGAGCAGGAGCAGCAGCAGCAGCAGCAGCAGCAGCAGCAACAAGCAGCAAGCAGCAAGCAGGAAGCAGCAAGCAGCAAGCAGGAAGCAGCAAGCAGGAAGCAGCAAGCAGCAACACCACTATGGCGACCATGACTGCGGTGACGACGACGACGACGACGACGATCACTGCTACCACATTAGAGGTATGCCTGCGCATGTGCTCATGATGCTGCCTGAATATTATCACAACTCACTGGACTCCTCGAAGCACCACTAAATCCGGTGAGAGGAACCACGGCTGACTCCATCTGGCCAGCAAGGACCTGATCTTCCGACGGCTGAGCCTGCAAACAGGGAAGGTCATGTGAACGGCAGCGGTCAAAGTCCTTGCATCCGGAGGGCTGCCAACTACTGTGTCCTTCCAGCCTTGGCCTTGACATGACCTTCCTCGTCCTGCTGAAGCTGCTTCAACAGGCTCAATGCAACAACATCTGTTGCCTCCTTAGCTTCTGCTTTTCCAACTTGCGCTTGCCATGAAACTTCTTGGCGTGGTTCTAATTCTGAAGCCGTACACATTGACGCGCTGGAATTCAGCTCCAAGAATCACCCCCTCTGCCCTGACCACGCCGACGCCTTTCTTCCTTAGGTGCAAGTGTTGACACCTGGTGTGTTGCTTTGCGCCTTGGCACGGTAGTAAAGAACCGAAGGCAAGTGTCTGCAAATTGCTCCGCAGGGTTCTGCGGCATGTGTGACCACTTGTACCAATCGGCTTCTGCCTCTGGCTGCCGGAGCCATGCAAGGCTGAGGTGGCAACGTAGATTTCGACAGCGTTTCACGCAGCACAGTATGCATTGCAGCATCAAGCACTTTCAAGCACACCAAACAGTGCCCCAGTGCCTGCCATGATTCAAAAGAACCTCCAGCACTTGGATCCCACCAGGATTGCCACTCTTCATGCTCACTACCTGGCTCCGTTCAGGTGCAACTTGCAGAACAGCAGCTCGACATCCCCTCCGAACAAACCAGCTCAGCTCATGCAGCCCTCATCTCAACTCTTCGGACTTGCGTTTGATTGGTTGCAACTGATCTTTCTGTCCTCTTTCTACTCGTACGCACCGGATCTGATTAGATTGGAGTCGCCTGCTGCATATGCCGTGCTCTGGTCAGGCCACGCGGCACCCGTGGCAGGCACATTGCTCGACCCGTTGAACATGCTTACCGGAAAATTAGGCCTGGAGTCCTTGGAATTGGTTTTGCGCTGCTACGTGCCAAGAACTCCAAATCTAAAGTCGATCAGCCTCCTCAGTGCACCACCCAAAGAGTACTCGCTCCATGAACTCCCAACCAGCTGCTTGGAGCTTCCATGAAAAACAAGAAGCACAAGGAACTGATGCTCCTGAAACATGCCGCGCACTCTTCCCCAGCGACAGCACATGTACAGGGGCATTACAAGGCCCTCGCAGTAGCTCCACAGGGCTCCACTCACTCTCCGCATTGCCGACTTCGCCCACGGATGTGCCCTTGCCCGGGGAAGTAAAAGCTAAAGCACACAGGTGGACAGGCAAAAGCAACCTCGCCTCGCTGGGCATGTACTTGCGAACCTGCATTTCGGAGCCGAAGTAGTCCATCAGTTCTGGCACCTTTTGGCTTGATTGCTCCATTTCGCATTGTGTCGAGAATCAGAACCAAAGCAAACAAAAAGTTTTGCAAACCACAGCGCCACACTGCGAAGCTGGTGAGAAACAACTCCTTGCAAAAGACGAGTTGTACAAAGAAACAAAGCACTGTTCCAGTTGAACCAATCCAACTCAGAATAACAGCAGCTGATACCGTTCACAGCAAGGGCTGGGGCGTGCACTCCCAGCAAATGATCGATGTGCCAATGCGTTATGACCTTTTCTGCAGCAAGCCATATCAAGCCGTCATTGCCATCCGATCACACGCCAGCAGAATCAATAAGATGAGGGCAACACTACTTGCGAAATATGGTGGCAGCCCTGCTGGGCCATGACGTCTATCAAGTCCTGGCATCTGGCATGCCAAATGAAACACGTTTCTGGAGCATGCCCCTTTGATGCTCATGTTCTCCGATATCTCATGACAGTACTCGCTACACTGCTGGGCCTGCAGCACTCCGGCTTTGCCCTCACCCGCATCGACAAGGATCCGGCTGCTGCCCGTCCCAACCTCACTCACGCACGGCCAATCCGTCAAGCTAAAACGGCACGAATCCTTTGCCCTGTGTCCAGCAACGTCACGCAGAGCTGGGGCAGTGGCCAAATACAAGTTTGTCCCCGTTAGGGAGAAAGGACTTGCGCGTTGCAGAGCATTTGTAACGTCTCACGAGGTGATTCGGCCCAACAAAAATCCCAAACTTTGGCCTCGGATTCCGTCCAAGGACACGAGTAACTCTGCCCGAGAGCTTTTCTATCTGATCAGCGTTGTTGCTCCAAACCAACAGCTGTGCTGGAAGGTTTTCTGCATCCAGCCTCCGGGAGACTCGGTGGCCCTGGCGCGGCACACGCCCAAGCTTCCAAGGCCACATGTCCACGGCACCTTAGAGGGTCTTTGATTCGTCCATCCTGAAGTACTGAAGTCCTGCCACATGAAAACAGTCGTGTTCTTAGATGGCCGCCGACACGCGCAACACGTGACCTGACGCAGAAGCTGCAGCACAGCCGCGTAACAAGATTGCCAACGACACACTTTTACATTGGACAAGCTGACATACACATAACTTTCGGCCTTCCCATGACTCCATCGGGACGCTGGCATTTGTTGCCCTCCCTTGTGTGTTGGAATGCTCGCACATTGATCATGTTAAGGTTACGTTTGACTTTTATGCACAAACACTGATTCGATGGCTGCTTCTCACAGGACCTGGCAAGATATGCAGCTGTCCACATGACATGTTGCGGTTCACGACTCGACCGAAGACCGGCGTGTGAAAAACACAAAACAACTGAACCTGCACCAGTGTAACGGAATGTAAACGGGCGCCACATGTTGCCAACGCGGTTGCGATTGCATCCGGCAGAACTCCAACCCACGATCTGTTTGCTCCATGTGCTCGCACGCCGACGGGCGGTGCCGCCACAAGCTAACTACTGCTTCATTTTCCAAACATTGAAACACAGCCCTTCAGCACTCAGAAGCGCCACCAGGCCCGCTGGCATGGGCTTCCCTGTTTTGGCAAAGCGCCCGCCCATGATCATCATCAGCACGGCCTGGGAGCAGGAGGAAATGAATCATAAACTGCTTGGCCCGAGCCTACATCGAATGATACATACACTACGTCACTGTAGAAAACAGACCGATGCACCTATACATATACAATTATATATATATACATATATATATATGTATATATATATATATGTATATGTATACACGTATACCGTATACACATACATACATACATACATACCTACCTTCCTACCCACCCACCCAC